GTGGTATTGTACTTTCTCAAGCTCATTATGTTAATAAGATACTTGAGAAATTTGGAAAGTCAGATACAAGTATGTTTAGGACACCAGTAGACTTAAGTCTATATTTGACCAAGAATAATGGTGAGAGTGTCTCTCAACTAGAACATTCTCGGGTTATTAGGAGTTTGATGTATCTGATAAGTTGTACAAGGCCGGATATCGCCTACGCTGTTAGTAGGCTGAGTAGATACACGAGTAATCCTAATGCTACTCATTGGAAGGGCATTATGCGAGTGTTAGGGTATATCCGTTACACCCTAGATTATTGGCTGCATTATCCCAGATACCCAGCGGTACTAGAAGGGTATAGTGACGCAAATTGGATATCTGATATAAAAGATTCCAAATCCACTAGAGGTTATGTGTTTACCCTCGGAGGGGCAGCCGTGTATTGGAAATCTGCCAAGCAAACGTGTATCTCGAGATCAACGATAGAATATGAGTTTATTGCTTTAGATAAAGCAACTGAAGAAGCTGAATGGCTTCGCCAGTTTGTTGAGGATATTCCACGTTGGCAGGGATGCCAAGTCAAAGGTGCATCATGTGACCCTTGGACCTATATGTTGGCAAGTATAGGTGAACAATGTAACATTTAACGTGCCGTTGTTTCGTTCTACTCATGAAATGTATGATCTTCAAGATGCAATAAGAAGTACAGTTGCATGGCCGTACAGTTGCATGGCCTAGTCAATTCATTCTTTTGGACTAAATATTAACTGATTTACAATTTGTAGTTAAAGAGGAATGGGGTTAAGGCCTTTAGTAAAGGTTACCGGAACGGAAAACCCAACCTAGTTGACTGGAGATCCCAAGATCTAAGTTCAAAGGGACAACTTAACTTCGTGTAACGGGTGAGTCACTGAAGAGGTAAATCCTCTTGCCCATTCTTTTATACAGTGATGCCCGGTAGGGGTGGAAGGTTAAGCTAATGCTTTTAATGACCTTAGTGGTGTGGTACAATGAAATACCGTATCTAGGTCACCTATGTGAGTGCGAAGTGGGGCCGTTTCTTTAAGAATTGCCAAGGCCGAATTCTTTAAAAACACTCACAGAACCAGGCTAGTGTTCCAGGGCCATACCGGACACACCAGTGAAAACAAGAACAATGGTTGGACTAACTCCTGTGTGAGGTCCATTGTCTCGGTTTACATAAACGGCAGAACAGTTCAAGACATCACGTTCACTGGTCAGCCAGTAAATCCGATAGGCTTTTACTACAAAAGGTTCAAGGCCAACAGCTACCTTTTCTGATGCAGGGTTAGTCTATGTGCTCTCTCTCTTCCCGAGTCTTTGTTGATAAACATTGAACGTTTGCTGTATTCGGTCAATTTTTATTCATGTGGGGGATTGTTGGAGAAAGATGGTTGAATAAGAAATTGCCTTATAAATGTGTATATAACTCACACATTTAAGGCTCATCAGTTTTATAAAATTGATTGGGCAGTTTTGCTAGCATTAGTTGCCAGTCTTGATGGCTAGAGGCTCCTCCCCTCTCCCTCATGGTGTATAAAAGGAGGCCATATTCCTTGAAAAAAGATATAGAATTTTTCTTTGACATCCATACACTGTCAGTCTACTTCTCCTATAATTTTATTCCTGAGAGAGAGTGCTACCGTTGTCCGTTTGCTAAGCTAATCAGAAGGTGCTTCTGTTGTAGCTGGTAAAAATCGTCGTATCCTGGGAAGTAGACGCCGGCGTACCTCCAGTACCCAACGGTGAGGCGGCGAATCTATTTTAAGAAGACTGTGGTATCACACAGGTTTCGATTTGCTTCCTTTAGCCATTTTATATTTTATCTGTATTTAATTCAGCATGCTATTTTTCCTGGGATTGAAGATTTGTTTTGTTCATCTCATAATTTTGTGATATGCAATGTGAAATTATGTAATATGAGTAGTTTTTCCCAACACCTTCTTCTTATAGGTTGGGCAAATCTCGAGCAATGTCTGTGGACATGATCTTCAAGGGATTGATAATACTCAATAAGAGTCGAATCTCAAATTTGATGTTTCATGAGGCACCAAGCTCTTATATTATTATGAAACATTATTTACGTAGTGCTTTAGATAAATTACTTGACAAAGACGAGTTATCATATCTCACCCATAAACTTCTTGGTATTAATCATTAATTTAGAACACAACGTAAGTAATATCACATAATATTTTAGAATTACTAAATAATTATCTTAAAATATAACAGTTTTGATACTATTTATTATTAAATTTGGCTTTAACAAGTTGGTTTAACAATGCATGTAGTCATTGGCTGAATAATGTTGAAGAAAAGAATGTATTGGTTGACCACAAATAACTTTCAACGAGTAAATGGAAGAGAAAACATTTTACAAATCCAAGTTGTTTTTAGTGCACTGCTGTTGAATTTTCCAACGAGTGTATTTTTTTCCAATTTCAAACATGCCACACTACTACTATTCAAGTCCCGCAATGGAGCCAGAAACAGAGCACAAAACTTTAACAACTTTGGATTGGTTTTAAACCAAAAGAATTGTGGTTTGACTTGGCTTCTATCATAGTGGTAATGTAATTATTTTTAATTTTATCAATTTAAATTTAATATTTAAATTAAATCATTTACCTGTTTTTGTTAAGTAAAATGAACAAAAAAAAAATGATATTCTAATTATTAATCAATATAAGTGTATATAAAATGTACAAAATATAATTTTTTGTTGAGTTTAATGACTAAAATATCATTTTTTTCATTAATTTTATTTAAGAAAAATAGATAAATAATTTATCAAAATATTAAAATTTAAATTGTCAAAATTAAAAACTTATGATTTATATTATTGCAAGTGTCAAATCATATGATTTTTTTTTTTAATAAATTTTTTGTTGAAATTTCTGCCTTTTTTTATTTTTAATTTTGTTAGAAAAAGGTTAAGGGTGTAAATACTTGAAGAGAAGAGGGAGAATGAAATATTCCCAATTTACCTCCCAAAAAAAATTTAAAAAAAAAAAAGAAGGAAAAAGAGAATGAAATGTACATTCTATTCTTATCCAGAGAGGACGATGCCAGCCGGAGCCAGGCAAGGAAAGTGGTTGTCGGATGGAGCCGCGTGCCGCCTGTCTGGGGTCAACCCAAGGATCCTATGTTGTCAAGTCCACTCTAAGAAAAACAAAATATAAAATAAATGGACTAGTTGAAACTCAAATTAAATTTATTTTATTTTATAGGGCATGGTTTGTTTTGATTTTAAATTTTCTGGATAAATTATATCAATGATCTCAATAGTTTGTCTTTTATGTAAATTTAGTTTTTTGTAATTTTATTGATGTTAATTTTTCACATTGTGTAAATTTAAGTCAATTGATAACATTTGCTAAGAAATTAGATAAAAATTAATGGGCAGTGGTTGGTCCCCCGAAAGGGGGGAGCCCGAATCCCCCGAAAATGCCATTTCAGATAAAAAAAAAAAAAAAAAAAGGAAAAAAAAAAAAAAAAAAGAAAAAAAGAAAAGAAAAAGAAAACAGTTTCCAAAAAAGAAAATTAGGGGGATTAGGGGGAGGGATTTTAGAGCTACCAACCTTACCCAAAATGAAATGTAAAACCATCCATTAAAAAAAATGTTAATACTCCAAGTGATGTTTTAAAAATGAAAAATATTATACAAACTAATATATTTTTATTAATATTATTGGTAAGTAAGAAGATTTTATTATTTTATATAACATTACTCATTGAAGAGTATCTCTCTCTCTCTCTCTGATGGGGACTCTTAAATGGTATATAAGTTACTGGTGGAATAATTATTTGGATGGCTTGGTCTTTGCTTATCTCTATTTGACCCAAGTTTGTTGATTAAACTATACAAAGAAAGAATGAAATGCCCTCGCTTCAATTAAATAAATAATTAAAAAATGCATTGTTTAGAGGATAATGTAGTTTATTAAGCCTAATGAAGATAACCCTTAGCACTTAATTGATAGTTTAAGTGAAGAAAAGTACCCTTAATCATAAAATAAATTTACCTCATTTTTCTTATAAAGCCATTAGGTGCATAATTGTATTTTCATTCATAAAAATAATATAATAATGTAGATAAGATAAAATAAAATAAAAAATGAGTGTGAATAGCACTATCCATTTTATATAATTTATAATTTGTTGTTATTGTTAGATTATTTTTGGCTTTTTGATATGTTAATTTTCAATCCACGATGCTTTAAATGACTATATATTTTATTGTGACAAAATCTACTACTATCCATCTTATTTTGGCATGCAATAAAATAGAATATGCTATTATCCTCGTAATAATAACTCTTAGATGTTGTGATTGTCAGTTATAATGTATTGCAATTTTTATGGAGTAATTTATTAAGCACTTAAATTGTGTTTCGTTTGTTGGGATGATTATTCAATTAAAAATTAATATAAATATATAATTAAAAATAGAATCATGTTTTGATATAAGAGTAATTACAAATCTAATTTTTTTTACACCATCAATGATTCACTATTATAAATAAATAATCAATCAATAGAAAATTTGTGAATTGAGCATTACATTTCATTTCCATCTGACAAAATCTATTATAATCCCTCATATTTTAGCAAATAGAATATGCTATTGATCTTGATAATAGAATTCTTAAATGTAGTGATGTCCAATTATATGATGTATTTACATTGTTTTTATGTTTTTTAAGGTAATTTATTAAAAAAAATACTACCTTTTTTTTTTTTTTTGAAACAATAAAAACCTAAAAGAAAAAATATAGAAAATAAGGCGTTTTTTTTTCCCTTCAAACAAAGAGATTATGAAAACGAAATCAAAAGGGAGTAAAAATACATTAATATAGAGAAAGTTGGTAAGGGTATTAGCGTAAAATAGTTCAAACAAAGGGGTATTATGACAAATTAACATAAACAAGAAACGTAATCCGAGTTCTGGGTTAAATTTTAACTACGGTAAGCTTCTTAAACTCTTTCTCTCTGTCTCTCTCTCTACTATAAACATCTTCTGATCTCTCTATCTGTTCTTCGCTTCCGTTGAACATCGAAACAAAACACGCCTTTTGCTTTTCCGAGTACTTTCACCGCCGTTCGCCGCCGCGAACCTGTTCGTTTCCGATCAAGACAGTCTTTTCCGGCAGCCGGAGCTCTCGCCGGTAAGTGACACGCGAAGTCTTAGTCTTCTCTCTGATTTTATATTCTATTCTGGAGTTATTTTTGTGTTGGTTTTGGTTTATCCTCTCATGCTCCGTTTGGTTGCTGAGAAAACTCAGGAAAATAAGAGGAATCGAGTACACTTTCTCTCTTCTATTCTCATTTTCTCAGGCTTTCTACCGACCATCGAAAACACTTAGAAGTCTTCGAATCCGTCTTTAGAGGTTAATTATTCGAATTTTTCACACACACTGATATATATATACATATATATGAATTGTATGTTAAAGCGTTTGATCTTTGCTGGTGAGTTTTCTCATAAATTGCCAGTTTGATTTCCTTTTCTAGGTAGGATGTATTGTTTTTTTCTTTTCAACTGCTGAGATCTAGAAGCCTGCCTATAGATTTTATTCATTTTTATTTTGAATTCATCAAAGCTTGGTTCTCCTTTTTTTCTTTTTTTTTTTTTTTGAGTGCCTCTCTGCAAATTTTGTTTGTTGGTTGTTTCAATAGTGTTGTTGTTTTTCCTTTTGAAATTTATAAGAACTCCAAAAAATTTTTTTTAAAAAAAAATGTTATTTTCATGGAACTAAAGGAGAATTGAAGATGATGTGGATGAATAGTTTGGGAAAATGACATGGACTTGGCTTGTTTTTTTAATAAAAAATATCATGAAGGTTTTTCACCGATTAAGCGAATGGATGAGTATAGATAGGTATGAGGAAAAGGTTAACAAGAATCTAGTAGCTTTTGTTCATGATAATCAACTCTGCTCTGCAGGATAATATTTTATTGGAATAAAAAATATGATGAAGACTTTGTCCCCATTAAGCTAATGGATGAGTATGGATAGGTATGAGAAAAAGGTTAATGAGAATCTAATAGCTTTTGTTCTTGTTAATCAACTATGCTTTCCATGGTTACAGTGAATGCAATGACATTATTTATTGAATTATGGCTGAATTAATGTCTAGGAGCCAAGCATCATGGTGTCTGTCATATTGGACTGTTTTTTTACAATTTTTTTGGTCAGTTCAGTTTGGGAATTATCACGAATTCCGCATAGTAATGATTAATGCTTTCTATACAATAGCGTGTTTCATCTGACCAGCTTGGAATCTGCAAGGCGTTACTATAGGATATTAATATGTGACAACCTAGTCCAGCACTTAACAACTAGCGAGAGTTTCTGTTTCCTTTGAAGCTTATGATTGCATATTTGGTTGTATTATTGTATATGTACTTCGCTTTTAAACCGTTACTTTTCCTCATTTTGGTGTTATTGTGCCCATTTAACACGTTTCATCTGACCAGATTGGAATCTGGAAGGCATTACTATAGGATGTTAAGATATGAAGGCGTAGTCCAGCACTTAACAACTAGCGAGAGTTTCAGTTACTTTCACGCATATGATTATGCATTTGCTTGTATACGTAATTATCTTTTAAATCGTCACTTTTTCTCATTTTGTGTTATGTGCCCATTTTTTTCTTCCTGATTTCTATCTGACAAAGTAGATCCGGCATTGGCCATTCAATGAAAGCATATCTTAGTCCAGGGAATCCTAAGAATTCCAACAAGTTTGGGGCTTCTTCGGCCAAAATCTATACTAATATTATAATATGTAAAGCCAGAACATGTATTTGGTGAGAACCAAATTTGAAACTGTGCAATGCTACTCCCAAATTTGAAACTGGATTTATCTTCCTATTTTTTATTAAGTAATCTAAAAAAGTGGTGCTTAGGCCAGCTTGATTTAATGGAAGGCCGAATGACAATAATATCTCTTGAATAATGTTACTTTATTACAGTGGTCTAGCAATCGAAATTGAAATTGAAATTGAAATATGACATGTCATTCTCTCTTAATTTTTTTATGCTTATATAACTTGTGTGCATGATCATATAATAAACAATGTGTTTAATGCAGGGTTTTGCAGTGCTCAGTGAAATACTGATGTGCAGTTCTTGTTTTGTAAATTTTTGAATATTTGTATTGGGATAACGGGACCAGATTTTTTTTGAAAGATTGTTTGACCAGCACTTGAATGCTTGCAACTTCTTCTACCAGTCATGGCTTCGAGATCATGTGCAAACTTATTAGATTTGGCCTCTGGGGACCTACTGGCTGTCCCTCGTACTCCTAGAGGTCTTCCAAGGGTGATGACTGTACCTGGAATTATCGACTTGGATGGGGATTCTGATGAGGTTTCTCCAGTTTGTCGTGAGAGGAAAATTATAGTAGCAAATATGTTGCCTTTGCATGCTCAAAGGGATGCGGAAAATGCCAAATGGTGCTTCAACTGGGATAAGGATGCACTTTTATTACACTTGAAGGATGGATTTTCACCTGAGACTGAGGTTATATATGTGGGTTCTCTCAAGGTTGAAATAGATGCCAGTGAACAAGAAGAAGTTGCCCAGATACTTCTTGATAATTTTAATTGTGTGCCTACCTTTCTACCTCATGAGCTTCACAAAAAATTCTATCATGGTTTCTGCAAACAGCAATTATGGCCTCTTTTCCATTACATGCTACCTATGTGCCCTGACCATGGTGACCGCTTTGACCGCCAACTTTGGCAAGCCTATGTGTCTGCAAATAAAATATTTTCAGATAAAGTTATGGAAGTAATTAATCCCGATGATGATTATATTTGGGTTCATGATTATCATCTCATGGTTCTCCCTACATTCTTGAGGAAGCGCTTCAATCGAGTCAAGCTTGGATTCTTTCTCCACAGTCCATTCCCTTCATCTGAAATATATCGAACTCTGCCTGTTAGAGACGAAATTCTGAAAGGTTTGCTGAACTGTGATCTGATCGGTTTTCAAACATTTGATTATGCTCGTCACTTCCTGTCATGCTGCAGTAGAATGCTAGGTCTGGACTACGAATCTAAGCGAGGGCACATTGGGCTTGATTACTTTGGTCGAACAGTATACATTAAAATTCTGCCTGTAGGTATTCATATGGGTCGACTTGAATATGTATTAAACCTTCCTTCAACGTCTATCAGAGTCAGAGAGATTCAGGAACAGTTTAGGGGGAAAAAGGTGATTGTTGGCATTGATGACATGGATATATTTAAAGGCATCAGTCTGAAACTACTAGCCTTTGAACAGCTCTTGCAGCAGCATCACGAGTCTCAGGGCCAATTAGTCTTGGTTCAAATAATGAACCCTGCGAGGAGCTCAGGAAGAGATGTGCAGGAAGCGAAGAGAGAGACATATTTGACTGCCCAAAGGATCAACGAGGTTTATGGCTCTTCTGATTATGAGCCAGTAATTCTGATTGATCGTCCTGTTGCTCGATATGAAAAGACTGCCTATTATGCTGTAGCAGAATGTTGTATTGTGAATGCAGTGAGGGATGGCATGAACTTAGTTCCTTACAAGTATATAGTTTGCCGGCAGGGCTCTCCAGAAATGGATAAAGCGATGGGTATCAAGGTAGATTCTCCTCGTACAAGCATGCTTGTTGTGTCCGAGTTTGTAGGTTGTTCACCTTCTTTAAGTGGTGCAATTAGGGTCAACCCATGGGATATTGAGTCTGTGGCCGAGGCTATGAATTTGGCAATCACAATACCCGATTCTGAGAAGCACTTGCGGCATGAGAAACATTATCGATATATTAGTTCTCATGATGTGGCTTATTGGGTTCGCAGCTTTATGCAGGATTTGGAAAGAGCATGCAAAGATCACTACAGTAAGCGTTGCTGGGGAATTGGTTTAGGGCTGGGCTTTAGAGTTGTTTCACTTTCACCAAGTTTTAGGAAGTTGTCTATTGACCACATTGTCTCGGCATATAAAAGGACAAATAGAAGGGCGATATTTCTGGACTATGATGGTACTATCGTTCCCCAGAGCTCTATTATTAAAAGCCTCAGCCCTGAAGTTATTACTGTTCTGAATACTGTTTGCAACGATCCTAAGAACACTGTCTTTATTGTTAGTGGGAGGGGAAGAAGTTCCCTGAGCGAGTGGCTTGCCCCGTGTGAGAGAGTGGGAATAGCTGCTGAACATGGGTACTTCATAAGGTATGTCAGTACATGTCTGTTTTTTGGTTCATCCTGTGATTTCAGACGTTTCTTTGTAGTGAGTTATATGTTGCCCGTTGTTGTTGTTGCAGGTGGAGTAAAAACAGTGACTGGGAATCAGGTCCCTCAACTACAGACCTTGAGTGGAAGGAAATTGTGGAACCTGTGATGAAGTCCTACACAGAGGCAACCGATGGCTCTAACATAGAAGTTAAAGAGAGCGCTTTGGTGTGGCACCATCAAGATGCCGACCCTGACTTTGGATCCTGCCAAGCCAAGGAATTGTTGGATCATTTGGAAAATGTACTTGCAAATGAACCAGCAGTTGTCAATAGGGGCCACCATATCGTTGAAGTCAAGCCACAAGTATGTCCCATCTTCTCTCTCTCTCTCTCACACACACGCGCTCGCGTGCGCACACACACTTAGTTCTGATCTGGGTAGGCCCACACAAACCATATTGGACTGAAAACTGGCTTATTTTGCGAAATTCGTTCAAACCAGTGGTTGAAGAATCGCAACAAGCCAGTTTGAGAGAACCCATTGTGGCTTGCTTAAAAATTTGTTGCCAAAGGGAATTGAATGCTTGACTTATCAAGAAGCCACTTCCACCACTGAAGGATTGCTCTTCTTGTGAACTTTTAGGAAAGTAAATATTGAAGTCAGTTTTCACAAGAAAATAATGTATAAAAATTTAAAAACATTTACAACAAATATTTGCTTATTCTATGTTTCTCTCTTATGCTTTTGTCTTTGGTGATGGATGTTCAAGAATATATTTAAGAAAATTTAGATTTGTAGGTAATTTTTTAAAAATAATTTTAATACCTTTATTTTTTTATTTTTATGTATAAATTTTAATATATTTACGATGTCACGGTTTGAGTCCGGCTGACCCAATGGTTGAACGAATGATCCTTGACCCACCCAGTCCCTTCCGGTTTACTAAACGGTCTGGGTTTCAAAACATTGGCATACACACTTCAACACTGGTACATTGAGCAAATTTTATCACCAATTTATTACAATAATGTGCAGGGAGTAAGCAAAGGATTGGTCGCAGACAAGGTTCTCTCAACAATGGTTAATAGTGGGAAGGCACCGGATTTTGTGATGTGCATCGGGGATGATAGGTCAGATGAAGAAATGTTCGAGAGCATACTAAGTACGGTCTCTTGTCCGTCCTTCCCAGTGGCTCCCGAGATATTTGCTTGCACTGTTGGGCAAAAGCCAAGCAAGGCCAAGTATTTTCTTGACGATCCAGCTGATGTGGTGAGGTTGCTTCGAGGACTTGCTAACGCTTCAAGTCCAAAACCTACACATATTGCCCAATTCCAAGTTTCATTCGACAATGCCTTTTGAGATTAATGGAGGAGTGATGACAGATGAGTTCGTTCTTGTCTGGATCAGAAGAACGTTAGAACGGTGGGTTTTTTTTGGATCAGTAGGGACACCGGGATTTCCAGTGTAGGAGGCTTCTATGGGCAATTCTCCTTAAGGCGGCATTCATTTGTATAGGGGTAACAAATGATTTTCTTTTCTCATATATACATCAATGTTAGTGGAAACTTGTTTCGGTCCGTTTGAAATGCTAATCATATCAAAATTATGTTAAGATATATGGTGTTTTTGTGCTTCAAATCGGATGATAACTGTTACTGGAATGATCTTGTATATAGTTTTTATTCATCTTTTTTCTGCTTGACTACTTGTATTCTGATCTGATAAGTAGGTCTGATTTTGATGCAAATTGCAAACTAATTTACATTTATTTCAGTTTTTAAAGTGGTTGATCTCACCAATCTACAAAAATGTAAGTTCTATTGGGGCGCTTCTAAATGCACTCATTTAATTTCTCTTGTGCACTGTGAACTTTGTACCTTAGGCAGAAATACGTGTACATGGAGTGTAAAAAATTATAATATTTGCATTTAGTTTTTCATGAATGTGTTGCTAGGGGAGAAATTGGAAAGTGCCCATCTAGGTTCAATGTGGTGTTTGATTTGGAAGGTATTTTTTCATTTGTTACACTTTTTGCAAAAATCGTATTGAATCTTTTGAGTTTCATGTTTCATTATTTGCTTCTATCATCAAAATACAGAATGAAGAGCTCCATGTTAGGATGATCCTTATATATTTTATATATTTTTATTTATGTACATATGGGGCATAAAATCCATAAATTTGTTTCACCACCATTATTAATCGTTGAAAGTTTCTTGAATTTAATCAAAAATAAAATTAAAAAAATAACGAGAGAATTTTTTTTTTTCCCAGAGAAAAATCCTAACCAAGTTTTAAAGGAGTTTTTTTTTTATATATATAAATATTAAAAAAAATTAATTTAGAGAATTGATCCACTTTTCAAATTATTTGAGAAATTAATCTGGTTTTTGAAATTACATTTTAAAAATGTGATTTTAAAATTGAAATTACATTTTTAACATGTGATTTCACCTTAAAATTGCATGTTGAAAATGTAATTTCAAAAAATGAAGCGCATGTTATCATAAATTACATTTTCAACATGTGATTTCAGATGAAATTATATATTGAAAATGTAATTTCAATTTCAAAATGTTATTTTAAAAATCATGTTAATTTCCTAAATAGTTTGAAAAATGATCTAATTCTCTAAATTGTTTTTATTTTAGAATCTTAAAAACAAAACTCATGGGGTGACATCAGGCGTCATGGTGTTTATTTTGGTTGTTTGTTGGGTGGTGGTAGACATTAAAGTATTTTTGGACTGCCGAAATAAGATAAAGATTGTACCAGGCCACTTGGTTGCTTCCCTATTGTTTCACGAGTTTTTCTTTTAATAGATATTCTAAAAAAAAAAAAATATTTAGAGAATTGATCTACTTTTTAAATTATTTAAGAAATTAACTTACTCTTTAATATTACATTTTTAACATGTAATTTTATCTTAAAATCGTAGGTTGAAAATGTAATATATGATGACATGATCAACATGCGATTTCAAAGTGAAATTGTATGTTGAAAATGCAATTTCAATTTCAAAATCACATTTTTAAAATGCGATTTCAAAAATAGATTAATTTTCCAAATAATTTTGAATAGTGAGTCAATTCTCTAAATATTTTTTTTAGAATATTAAAAAAAAAAAAAACTCAATGTTTCACATGCCTTGAGTATTTTTTTTTATATTTTTTTAATTGTTAGAATGGATTTGTTTTGATCTGAACTGAAAAGGTATAGTCTTAAACACTAGATCGTGTCACGACAATTTTTGTTTTTTTATTTTTTATTTTTTATGAATCAAAGTCCTAAATTTATTTACACATTCGAAAAATTTATCGATTAGTGTTAGAGTATCTCTAATGATGAACTATTTTTTTCATCAAATTTGATGAAAAAAAGATTTTTTCTTCAATCTGATATGAGTTGCTCCAACGGCGAACACTATTGCTTGCATCAAATGCCTGCATCAAATGCCTGGAGCGTCCGGTGAGATGACCAGCCGAATGACCGGCCGACCAACCAATTATGCCACTGAATTTTTTTTCCCCCTCTATTTCTGTTCCGATTTTGGTTCCCTTCATTTCTGTTTAATCAACACACCTCACCACTAATTATTCAATTGTTCAAACTTAGCCTTCAATTGCTCAATCTTGAGCCCCACAGACTTCTGTATTGCACCCTTTTTCTTCTCTGACAACTTTGCTAGCAACCCCTCATCGAAATACGTAGTTTCTTTAGAATCCAAAGTCGTTTGTATCTCCTCCCTTGCCTCTGCGAACTTGAGGTTGATCTCGTTGACCACTTTGCTTGTATCAACACAGTATTGCCTCATAATCTGGAAAATCCTCAACTGGGTTGTAGAGTTTGAGCTTGTTAGGCGAAGAAAGTGACGGATTTTCATGGGATTTTGAGACGAAAATGGGATTTTGAGACGAATATGAAGGAATACAATGTTCTTTGATAGATACTCTTCAATCGGAGAGAAAGAGAGAGAGAGAGAGAGAGAGAGAGAGGGGTGCTTGATAATGGAGGTTGTTGAAGAATGTCCAAATCAGAGCATTAGTGAGAGGTGGTCGACCTGTCAATGTAAATTTTCACAAATTTTTACTTTAAAGCAGTCATTCGAGAGACATCTGGCCAAACGTTCGGCAGGTCGTCCGGTAGGTCCAACTCAACGGCTATGCACAGTAAATTGCTGAAAGGGGCTAGCCATTCTCAATTTGGTGAAACGTTTGATATTTTCTCAATTTGATACTGCTTTGGTGCAACTGTTGGAGCACAAAAAGTACTAATTTTTCATCAAATTTGAATTTGATGATAGATTTGGTGAATGGTTGGAGATGGTTTTATATTGAGTCAACTTTTTGTTGGAACAATCTTCTTTGTAAAAAAAATAACTTGAAATAAATTCAAACAAAATATATAAATAACATACCAGATTTATTTATCGAACCGAATTAAAATTAAGACCAAGTCGAGTGTGTGACACTCTGTCTTTAAGACAGATTCGCCCCGCTACGGTAGTTACGGTTGAGTGGCGTCTATCTCTCAGGATACAATGATCTTCACAAATTGTAGTAGTACACCAAACAATTTATTCGGCGAACCAAACCTGTGTTTTAACTCTCTGAATATTTTTTTCTAAATCTAATATATGAAGAATATATGTACTTAGAGCAAAATGGACAGCAATATCAGAATATACGGACTGAATTTTTTCTGGGGCTTTAACATTGCTGGAATGTAGTATTTATAGGCAACAATAAATGATCCGAACAGGTGCATTAAGGAAATGAATAGGTGCAAAACTGTAGTGAACAGGTTCTGCCCGTATCACATTCAAATAAAGTTGACCGAGGCATATTGAAAACAAATTTGAAAAGATCCGTTGGTCAAACAACCTGTTTGGAATTCAAATTTATTTTACCTTTATTAAATAAACTATTTTGAATATATATATATTAAACTATCGAATATATTTATATATTAAACAAATTGAATAGTTTAATAAATAAAGTAAGGGGCACAAATTTTAGAAAACCACTTAGGAACCCAAAATTTGAATTTAGAATTAAATTAAATTCCCACAATAATTTTTTATTGAAAAAATTCAAAAGAATTTTTATCTAAAAAATTAATGTTAAATCCGAAAACGACGTCAACTTCCCATTCACGCATAAATGGTTTTGATGTTCCGTCTTCACCGTGTGACTTGCCACGCGGCAAGGAACATATCACCTCTTCGGACCCACGTGTGACTTGCCACGCGGCAAGGAGCACATCACCTCTTCGGACCAACCCCAAAAGATGTTTGGGGCCCACTCAATTTTGAGCTAAAAAATATGCCTATATTAAACCATTTTTCCAACAATCTCCCACATGAATGGAATTTGACGGAGAAAAAATGCAACAACATGATCTAATTACAGAGAGTACAGAAATTAAAAATATTCTGCAAAGGATAGGTAGCTTTTGGCTTTGAACCTTCCTTTGTGAGACACTATCGGATTTACTAGCTAACCAGTAAACATGATGTCTTAAACTGTTCAGCCGTTTGTGTAAACCAAGACAATAGAACTCACACAGTATATTCCCAGACACAGTTTAGTTCTTATTATTGTGTTCATTTTAGCCCTGAACAACCTGGTCTTTCATGAGTGCTCTAGAGAATTGTAGCCCTTCACAAATCTCATAAAACCGGCCCAGTTCACACTCACATAGGTGATTCTTATGAAGAGTATCCTGCCATACTCCACTAGGTTTACCTAGATATAAGAGTCATTAAAATTTTACTTAACCTCAAACGCTGCAGACATCACTATTTTATCAAAGAAATTGGTAGGAGTTAAACTCTCCAGTGATCCTTTTGAGTTATTCACAACTCGGTTGTCCCTTTGAACCTAGATCTCGGGATCTCCAGTCAACTAGATTGGGTTGCCGTTGTGGTAACTCTTATTTAATAGGCTTTAGTCCCATTCCCCTCGATGAATTCTCAACTAACTCTCTTGCTAACCCTTTGGTTAGTGGATCCGCTATGTTATCTTTAGACTTAACATATTCTATGGAAATAATTCCATTAGAGAGTAGTTGTCTCACGGTGTTATGTCGACGACGAATGTGTCGTGACTTACCGTTATACATATGACTCTGTGCTCTACTAATTACTGATTGACTATCACAATGTATACATATAGTAGGCACCGGTTTTGGCCATATCGGAATATCTTCAAGTGGCGAAGCCATTCTGCCTCTTCCCCTGCTTTGTCTAGAGCTATGAATTCAGATTCCATAGTAGACCTAGCAATACAAGTCTGTTTGGAAGATTTCCAAGATACAGCCGCACCACCAAGAGTAAAGACATACCCACTAGTGGACTTCGAGTCTCTAGTATCCGATACCCAATTTGCATCACAGTATCCTTCAAGTACTGCTGGATATCTAGTAAAATTCAGCCCAATGTTACGAGTAAATCGAAGATATCTTAGAACCCTTATAATTGCTTTCCAGTGTTCTACTCCCGGATTACTCGTATATCTACTTAATTTACTTACTGCAAAAGCTATATCTGGGCGAGTGCAGTTCGTCAAGTACATTAAGTTTCCAATAATTTTGGCATACTCTAATTGAGAAATACTTTCCTGTATATTTGTAGACGTCCCCGAACGCCCCGGGGAGGAACGAGTCCCCCCCCGTTCCGTTCGATATTGGGCTCACTACAGT